GACGAGTTTATCTTGCTGCTAAGACTGGCAGGACTCACTGACTATGCCGACTATGATGTCAGAGAAACGTAAGGGAATGTACCAAGTCGACGGTCCAACGATGTAGATGATCATAACTCTTATATTAGAGGACTTCGGGCAAGGTGTATCCAACACGACCAATTTGCAAAGACGAGGTTAGACCCTGGCTAAATACATATTTTTCGTAAGTAAGTAGAGTTTCGAGACTACCAGTAACTAAGTAATATGAGATGTATTCAACCTATTTCATTTAAGGTGATTACTTTTCAACCACCTGGAGGATTTCTCGAAGTTTATAAGTCTTTTATTTATTAAGTGAGATATGCCATTTGGTGTTACATCAGTGAAATGAGTAGATGATCACAACAGCCCACTCAGCCTATAGCAATGCTGTAGTGTAAACGAAGAAAATGAGGGTTTCGAAGAATCTCCTGAAATAAGATGGATAAGTGTTGGCCTTATCGATACTAGTCACATTCATAAGATAAATTTGAATTGGTTTGGTTTGCCTTGAAAATCACATATGCTCTGCAATTCCACTGAACTCAGCCTGGGCAACCAATTGGTAAAATGTTGCGAAGTGACGAACTAAAACTGTCCTTGAAGCACAGTTTGGCTGCTCATCCACACTTTCTTTGCTCTAACTCCAGTCTAGGGAAAATCAAGTAACTAGTATCCTTCACTTAAAACGAGAACTTCGAGATTACTATTAAATCATATGAATAAGATGTGTTCACCCTATTTCGTTTAAGGTGATGCTGAATTGGTAGTTGAATTTTCCCACAATGATATTAGTAAACCTTACGCTTCCAAAAGGTTTTAATATCCAGGGTGGACTGCAGTCTCATCTCCAGCGGGACTCGAACCATGACAGTGCAACGTATAATCTCGAAATATCAACCACTACGTCACTCTTCCATTATATTGAAAAATGCCCGATCTTCCCTGAAGTTCACTTCTACCCTGTGACCCAACTGCAGTCGTGGCATTGTGGCGTAGCGGTTAACGTGGTGAGCTTTTACGCAACACTATCACGGTTCGAGTTCCGATGGAGATGTTGAGTACACGATTTGAAGAAAGCTCTAATCTATATGAGAATACCTTTTAGGAAGCAATGCCATTTGAAATTCATTGGAAACTTAATGCCTACTCATAGTATTATGGGAAAATTAAACTAACAGTTCTTCATCACCATAGACCAAATGGAAAAACACATCTCATACAGCATGTAGCTTGTTTGAAAAATATCTCAACTTTAGATTGTGGCACCTAATATCCTTTCTGTAACGTTCTCACTGGCATAGCGTATGCGCTTAGAGGACACAAAGCCCGATTTTTTCATGATATGTGTTTTACTTTATAGGCACCTGCGACATGAATATGAACTCTGTCACAGGATAAAACAATTTCCGTATTGATGTGATATTCCGGCCTATTATTTTGCATTTCATCCTCAACTCTGACTGATGACAAGCAAGCTGATATAGATCAGACTAAAGCTTTTTTCAATATAGAAGAAAGAAGCTCTATATAGTTGGAGAAAACTATCCGTGGTGGAATTATCTGGTACATGTAGATTACACTGGATTTACTTACTTTCATGTCCAATTCCGGAGCAACCCCCTTTTTCACCTCGGCACCAATGTACAGGTCCTTCGATCTTTGGCTTTTTCTTCTGTACCACAACAAAATGTTGCAGAGGCTCCAGAGGTGGCGACGGAGGTGGCGGAGTTGGTGGTGGTGTTGGTGGTTTGAGCAGAGGAATCGCCGCTCCCAGAGCCCACGTAGAGTCTCCTGTATAATAACGTCCACCCGTCATCACTGAGATCTGGCCTATCGAGGCAAATCGATTAAGAGAATTGTCATGGTTGCCCCCATGACTATAAGCCGATCCATGTGAGTAGCCATTAAACCCATATTGTCCAGGAGCTATCAAAGTGGCCGAGTTACCGATAGGCTTGGTGATGGCGACTTGGTGCCGAAGCGCTGGGAGGCGAGGGTCTGGCGGTACAGTGTACAGCTGGTGTCGCGTCAGTGACTGAGAGCGCATCAGTCTGGAACCCCCTTGTCTCGAGCCTTCGTTACATATGCCGCAGCCCTGCTGACTTTCGTGGAAGTCGGCTCCTCGGCTGGTCATTGCCTGCGGCAAGGTCCACATACTGTTGGTAACGGGTCCAGATAAGCCTCTATACACGGCGTTGACATTCATAGGCCCTCCGAACTCGAGTTCAGGCATTGTCTTGAGCCTCGGTGTCATCGGGGAAGCCAATTCAGAGGATGCGATTTCCCTATTTGTGAGCATAGCATCAAATGTTTGGTGTGCATCCTCATGCTCTTGATCGGCGATGGGGTGTCTTTGGCGATGAATGGCGAGTAGACATTTTAGCTCTCCAACCAACCTCTCCTGCAGCACCTGCTGATCTGGATCTAGATCCGAGGTCATCTGTGCTGAGTTCGGACGTATTTGGCGACCTACAGGCTGAAGTCGGTACTCAGGCTGCGAGAGTACAAATTGCTCCATCATTCTGGGGAACTGGGGCTTGGTCTCAGAAGTGTACCTGTCGAGTGTCGCAGCTGGCCCTCTTGAGGGTGCTGAGAGTGACTTAAGCTTGCTCGTTGGGGAGTGCTTCTGGCCGTTTACTGCTTTCCCGATCACCAACACAGGCGGCAGCCTCCGAAGACATGTGGCATGGAGGTTGTGATT